ATATATACATACATACATACATACATACATACATACATACATACATACATACATACATACATACATACATACATACATACATACATACATACATACATACATACATACATACATACATACATACATACATACATACATACATACATACATACATACATACATACATACATACATACATACATACATACATACATACATACATACATACATACATACATACATACATACATACATACATACATACATACAAACCAAAAAATATACATACAAACATACAAAAATGCATACATACCCCCTGCCATTCATGTTTGTAACAATATATTGACGTTGAAGAGATATAATAATACTTCTTTGAATTCTCATCTCGTCTTTACTAAGTTTAGTAAGAATACTACTACTACTACTACTGCTGCTGCTACTACTACTACTACTACTACTACTACTACTTCTACTACTACTACTACTACTACTACTACTTCTACTACTACTACTACTACTATTACTACTACTAAAAATGAAGATGAAGATGAGGATGAAGATGAAACATCACCTTACTTACATCACAATGATTTCATTCATCATTCAACTTGTTATTTTTTGATATGCATACATACCTACCTACAAACGCTCCGCTAATTATTATTATTATTCTTAAAATAATAATAATTGTTATAATAATTATAATAATAATAATTAATATTATTATTTTTATTATTATTTGATGTTTTTGATATTTTTGTTTCTAATTATGGCGCGTAGCGGGCATTAATCTGCCGTGTTTGTTCTTGTTCTGGTGGTATCTCTCCGCTGATGGAGGAAGAGAGGAAGAAAGTGAGAGAGAGAGAGAAAGAGGAAAAGTGGGAAAGATGAAGAGAGAGAGAGAGAGAGAGAGAGAGAGAGAGAGGGAGAGTGAAAGAGAGAGAGAGAGAGAGAGTGTGAGAAATGAATAAATAAAAAGTAGCAAGAGGAAGAGGAATGAGTTGCATAAAAAGATTAAAAAAAGACACAGAGAAATGAAAAGAAGGAACTATAAAATGAGAGAAAGAGAGAGAAAGAGAGAGAGAGATGAGAAAGCGAGAATGTATAGAAAAAAAACATGGAGATAGAAAAAGTAAAAGCGAAAGAGAGAGAGAGAGATAGAGAGAAAGAGAGAGAGAGAGAGAGAGAGAGAGAGAGAGAATGTAAGAGCGAAGAATGTGCATGCAAGATGAGATGAAAAGACAAAAACGAAGAACAGAAAAAAAGAGGAAAGAGATAAAAAATAAATAAAAAAGAGAGAGATAAAGAAAGAAAGAGAGAGAGAAAAAAAAGAGAGAGAGAGAGAAAAAAGAGAGAGTGAGAATCTTTGAAATGTGATACCGAGAGACGGTGGAATAATACGTAC